TTTCAGTACATTTCAAAATAATCGAGTAAAACTAAAAAAAATACGGAAAACCAAAATATTTACAGAAATTTTTTTTATTTTAGAATTTAAAAAAAAATCTGGTTAACATTTTAAGTTTCTACGGTTATTCGTTTAAGAACTGCAATAAAATAAAAAAATTGTTCAAGAAGTAATTTTAGTTATTTTAAGGATTATATCCAATGTCATGAAAGTGTTAAACTCTTATTAAACCTTATTTTCTTCATGGTTATTTATTTTTTTTTATTACAAGGATCTTTCATTTAATGTTAAAATCTTAGATACAAAAACAATTTTTTTTGAATTTTCAATTACAAAATAATCTGCAAATTTTCAAAGCGCTTATAATTTTTTTAAATTTGATTTTACTTTAAAAACAAACATTTTTGAAAAATATGTTATTATTTAGTGGTTATCTACGTTATTGAGTGAAAACTACCATTATTGATTTAATATTCTGAAACAGAATTTAAATTTTCTTAGAACTTGACGAATAAAAATAAATTTTGAATTGTTGAACTACAAATATATTTACGAAAAACATCTTGCTAAAAAAAACCAAGAAGGCACTGTAATATACGTATTAATGTTTCGATGGCACCTCGTCATTGAGTAAGTTAAGTACTATAATGGACGTTAAATTTAAATTCAATGATACAAATCACCACTGTATATTTAAAAACGATTCTTGTTGAAGATTATCTGTTAGCCTCCATTTCAAAAGGATATTTTATAATTTATTTGTATCACTCTTAGTGAAACACGGTAGTTAAACTAATTTGAGAAATATTGTATTGGATAAATAAGCTCTTTAACTTACAAACAAAATTGTATCACACATTAAACAACAAAAATAAAAAATGTTACATGTGTATGTATTTAAAAATAGATAAAAATCTAAATAATTTAAAAATAATATCACATGAAAAATTACAAATAAGAAAAAATTTCAAATAAGTATACAGTTTAGTTTTTAATTACAAAAAAAAAAAATTAAATTAATTTTGTCGAAAACTGGTATAGCGTAAACATACCAGATTTGTACTAAATACATTTTTTTCCAATTATTTATCCACCGATTTCTTTTAGTTACACTTTCGACCCCTTTTAGTACGAGCTAAATCCAATTTCCCACCAAAATTCACCTTAAAGTTAAAAATTGAAGAATTTTTAATGCTAAAAGATGAAGTCACAAAATACTAAACAAAACACTATAAAACCAATGTATCCATTACTCCGCTCATAATATAAAATAAAAATAACAAGTTTTTATAATATATCAGTATTAAATTTATATTTTCTACAAGAAAATATGCACAGAAACAAATTATTTATCGTTTTGTAGAATATTGATACGTATTTTAATTTAGTATATTAATTCAGTATATAATTCTGATTAAAAAATTGTATCGTTTTGATAAATTAAGAATAAATAAGTCAACTTTACTAACTAACATCATGTAAATGGATATTATTTATAGTTTTTTTTTTTTTTTTGTAATATACTAATTGTATGTCATACTTTTGATGTTTTCTGATAAAATTTGTAAGTAAAACAATAATATGATTATAAATTTAAAAAAACTGAAAACTAGATACTGCAGCATAGTTGGTTTCGAGTATAACTTTTCATTAAGTTGTCATAATAAATATGTATCATGTATATGAAAAAACGATTTTTATCAATTGTATTATTATTAGTTATTTCTTTTTGTATCTAAAATTACGTATATGTCAGTATTAACATACCACACATTTGTCTAATTAAATTTGTGGTATAAATATCTTAAAATTAGTCTATAAATAAGCTTAGTGTTAATATTATTTGAATTACAAAAAAATGTTGCAAATATATTTTTTTCCATAAATTTAAATTATATTTAGATTTTAATTAAATTTTAAATATTTTATTAATAAAAATGCATGTTATGTTTAGAAATATTTTATAGGTATCTTAAAACACAATCCATAAGTAAATATTAGATGTTATATCAGTCAATAACTAGAAAATTATTCTTTATTATATCTACTTTAATATGCAAATAATTAATAACATAATATTATAAAAAATTAAATATTTCCATTCTTTCTTAAAAATCGATTTTAAAATTAAAATATGCAGTTATATTGATAAAGTAGGGAGTAATAAAATTTCTTATCCATCATAAAATATTTGAATTAATTAAATCAGTGTATTATATTTGGAAATTTTAAATTTATAGGTTGTTTAAAAATCAAAGTTAGACAAATTTAAGTGATTTCAATATAGAAAAATATAAGACCTTTCTTAGCAACATGGCACACAGCGTCAACAAGTTTTGACCGCCACAGGTCATTTCCCACCCTAGGTTAAATACTGTGCAATTTGACCACGTTTGATAATCTTTTAATGTACTATAGGTAGAAATGCTATATAAACCAAAACTCACTAAAATTTCTTATTTGGTATACTGCGCTAAGAGATAATTAGTATGACATATTTTAACATTGGCGCATTTGATTTACTCATGAAAACTTATATTATTATATAATATGTGCTAACAACATTTTGTCAACACTTTTTATCTTATTGTAACATTTGTTGTTCTTCTTTTTGCGAGTATAATGAAATAGTCAAAATTGTTTTACCTCAAATAATAGCCTATAACTACAATTCACGTAGTTTTCATCCAGATTTCGGATATTAATCATATCATTATCTGTTCTTGAAAATGTTTGTAAATTAATTATAACAACATTAACAAACAGCTAGTATAACGTTTAAACTTCAAATGATTACTGTTGTAGTGTTGATGAAAAAACAATGATCCCAAGCAGCATCTTCCAAGTTGTTCGTCCATTTTGATCAACCATGAATCTTATGTAGAGATGATGTATGATCCGCATTGAAAGATAAATTTATATAATCTATATATTATCATCTTTATAGGAATATGAAAAACTAAACAAATATTGTATCTGAAATTAGTAATATGTTTATTTGCATGAGACACAAACGTTGTTGTGTCAGACATGCTAATAAAACTTAAAATCTAATTTAATATCACAGTTTTCACAATCTGTGTATATAAATCAAAATTAACTATTATATTATATTCATAAAGTTCATATAATTAATTTGACTTATTTCAATCCAGTGAGATGACACTTCTCCAAGTTATTATTACCTGGACAAATACAAAATACATAATATTTATTATGTTTTAATCAAAACTAAAATAATTTTACTAATATCCTAGTTTTTGAAATCTACAAGGCAATTAAGCAATTCTTAATTTATTTTTATTAATATAAATTCAATCTTTGTAAGCATTTAAAACTTATTTTTATTTATAAATATTGTCATTAATCACAAATTTATGTTTAAGTTAATTTATTAGATTTAGACAAGCAAATATTGTAAAATTAATTACAAAATAATTTCATATTTTTGGATATTGTAGTAAAATTTAAGATATTATCATTATACATTGCTCTTTTTCACAAACATACAAAACAAAAAATGCAGAATTAATTTTGAGTTGTCAGTTTTAATATTAAAGTGAATTAACCTAAAACCACCATATTTATAGTTAGGAACATTAATTGTGCTTGTGTGTGGGATTTTCTATGATAGTAACATTTTTATACAAGCCATGAGTACCTATGCAGAATATTACAATTTTAAAATCCATATGTACTGCAAACAAATTGAAATGTTAAAAAAAAATTATTATACACACACACAAAATGATCCAAAATCATTAGTTTGATAATAAGTTAATTAACTCTAATATTAAATTTAATAACACGAAATTGGTTCTGCTTAACACAAACTTCTTATGTTGTATGTTATTATGATGGAGACCATATAGTAGCAACTTTTATAAATTAGATTTTAAACATAAGAAATGTTGTTAATATAAGAGAAAATATTATTAAAAAATGGTATCAAAAATTGAAAGTAATATATTTATATGTCATATACTTTTTAATTAGTCTTGGTATCGCAATCAAGTATAAATAACCAGGCAAATAAGTGACCCATCGTTGAAACACAGATTAACAGTTGTTTAGGTAATAACTTCAGAATTTAACTTGATTAGATGAACATTTTGATCATTCATGAATAATAATCAAAAAATATTCAATCTGAACAATATTACTTGTATTTTTTTTTTTTATATGTATTGAATACTTATAAAATAATTTTGAGATAATAAATAACTGAATATTCATTTTAATTCCATATTGAACGAATATACAAAAAAACCATACAATTTTATCACTTACCTTATCACTGTGATGAATAGTTCAATACGATTACATACTTCTAATATTACTATGAGTCTGTTTAAGACACAATTTTCATGTTGTTTGAAATAGGGAGGGTTTAACTACGAATCAACCATGTATTAAAAATGGATTTAAGTGAGTACATGTGTATGAAACATTTTTATACATTCACACGTACATGAATGGATACCATAAAATATAATATGTTTAGAGAGATCATTTCTGTAGGTGTTCCATTAGACACCTGAAGTTTATCCTGAAATGTAACTTTTCACAACAATTATTCATTCACTGTTTAAAACATATTATTTTGTAACCAAATATTTTCCAGAAAAAAAATATTGGTTGATGTATCAGTGTCAGTGCTTTAACAATAATAAACTTGAGAACTTAATAGAAAATTCAATTTACCAAATAAAGTAAAACATTCAAGTCAGTTAAAATATTTTTTGATATTTTACTTAAGCTTAGATGTCCTATGCAAATATTTTACACTATAACCAATTAGTTTAGCAACCAAAAATAATTTATAGTTAAATAATACCTGATGATAATTATGATGTATTTATATTTTTATCATTTGACCAAATTGTCACTTGGAAATAGTTTAAAAGTCTAAATACTATTTCAAATATGTATTAAGCACTGACACTTAAGTAATATATCAAAATTGAAGAAAAATGAATAGTAAAAATATAAGATCTTACGTGGTAATTTCTTGACGTCTGAAGGAGAGCTCTTAAGTTTCTTTTCACTTTGAGAATCTGGTGGAGGTGACAAACTTCTTTTTTCAGCTTTTGACAAAGGTAAAGGTGATATAGTCTTAGTTGATTTTTTAGATTGTGCTTTAGATTTAGGATGAGGTGGAGGTGGGGCTTGTTCTTCTAAACCAGTACTTCGGAATTTTGACTTAAATGTTTTAACAGTTGGTTTTTTCTCACCCACATAATCTTTTTTCTCTACATGAATAGAATAATTTTTTTTTTCTAAAATTGTCTTAGATTCTGGCAATTTGGGTTTAGGGGCTGGTGGTGGTAATGGCCGTGATTCTTTTTTTATATCTGTATTAGAATTGGAGTCATTGCTTTTTTTACCATCATTGGATAGTTTTAATTTTATGAATCTTTCTCCTGATGAAAGATTTTTTAAATTTTGTTTTCGTCGATTTGAATGTTTGGTTAAATTTAAATTATCATTTTCTATTTGTTTGTCATCATCAGATTTTTCATCAGTCATTTCCCCAATTATTCTTAAAAATGGATTTCCATTTTTGTCTTTTATACGCCGTTTTTTTTCTTTGGCATCTTCAGAATCATCTTTTACCTTTTCTTTTTCAATTTTTGGTTTTTCTTTATTTTTGTCAACCTCAGTTTTACTATTTAAGTTATTTTTTTCTTTTTTAATTCTATCTTTGACTTTTTCATTTTCACATTTATTCTTAGATTTGTCAGTTTTTGTTTTACAATCTGAAGTATCAATCATGGATTCTGAAGAAACCCCAGAATCTATTTTAGGTACATTTAAGATTAAATTTCCTTCAGTTTCAGATTTTAAGTTATCTAGCGTTTCATGTTTAGTTAAGCTTTCTTTATCACTCATCATACTATGCCATTGTTCAGTTTTAACTACCTTTAACCATTTTTCAACTAACTGTTGTGCGAGTGATTTCACTTCTGAAATATTAAAAGAAAAAAAATCATTAGAAATGATCACTATTTAAAATTCCATCCATTAAATAAATTTAATTTAAAATATTGTTGGCATTTCAACAATAATATATCAAATGTTTAACCTCAAATAAATTAAAATATGTTTTATATTAAAATTACCTGTATCATTATGAGTTTTGGATAACTTTTTAACTAATTTTGGTCCTCCATTAGCTTTTAATCGTTCCATTGTTACAGGTACAATATGAAAAATTGTTAATAGATCTTGAATTAGAACAATATTATCTGTTTCTACAGCATCTTTTAACCAATTATAAATTAAATTCCAACCACCGGCATCCATAAATCTAAAATACAAAAATAATGAAATAAATATCATATATCTAACATCTATTTATTTAATAGAAAAATGTATTAGTACAGTGATTTTTATAATTATTAAGACCATAACATACAATGCAATTTTAAACATATGTATGTATACTTGAAAATGTATAAATAAAAATATTATTTATTAAAATGTATTACATCTCTCTTTTATAAATTAAAACAAGTTTATCATATTTCCCACTTAACCATGATTTGAATGTTAGTGAATAACAAAAATACTTATTGATACAATAATTAAGAAAATTAAAATTATTTACTTAAAAATTCGTGAAAATATGTAAACATATTTTATTATACTTAAGGTGTAATTAAATATTTGCATTTTTAATCAGAATTCAATTAAGTTATATATTCATAAAAATGCACACCCTATAATTAAATCAGTAATCTGTTAAGTGATATGTATTTAAGTCTCGGGTCACTATCATGGATTTATTAATTTTGAATTTAATCATAAGTCATTGCATGTGAAAAATGATTCTGAGCTGAAACAGTATAATATTCAGCTTATATTAACAAATATATTTTATCATTTATACTGCTGATTGAATAATTTATTTTACCATTGGTAATACAGTATAAAAAGGAAATAGCTTAAAATGAATCTAAACATTATGAAGATATCATTTCAAATAGTAAAACATAATAATTATATACGTGAAGTCTTCACAATTTTTTTTTTAATTAAAAAAAAAAAAAATAATAAAAATAACTAAAACTCATTCTTTGTTATATTTGAACTTCAAATATACATAATTAAAAATATTGTGACTACACTTTTTGGATTTTTAGATTTCATTAAGAACTACTAATGAGGAATCTAAAAATTAAATTTTAAATATTCAGCTACACAGATTTAACATTTTATAAAATTTTAACTATTAAATTATTTTGTCAAAATTCAATAAGAATACTCATAAAAAAATTATTATAGGTTTATTAACAGCTTATGACTTACGAAGCACTTAAATTAAATTATCAAGTGATCTGTATTAGATTTTTTTCTTCAAATTTATAAGAAATAAAACTAAGAAGTAGAAATATATAATGTATGAAAAATACTAATATGAAAATTTGTAAAAAAAAAAAAATGTAAGTAACTACAATTGACTGTTTTTGAATTACAACAAAATATCAAAAATAATAATTGAATTATAATTCCAGAATATAAATGTGGTGTAATAAGTGCTATAGGTTTTTAATCATGATAACTGCATTAAAATACTATCTATATTTTACAGGTATATAATCTAAAATAATTAATAAAAAAATATTACTAATTACTTACATGTTTAATAAATGTGGAGTAGATTCTTTTAAAATAAAAACATATAAGCTTTTACTAACAATTTTTTTTGAAAATTTTGCCATCAACCTGAAAAAAAAATTGTAACTTTATTAATTTAATATGCCTACAAAATTCAAAAGCGACAAAAAGAACAACTAACAAATATTTTTTAAAGATAACTGTCGTATTACATGTATAAATGAACCAATTTATAAACATTGATGTAAACATTACAATGACAAATTATACACAGAATAATTTTATTTCTGTTAATTGTAGTTGATTTATTTGAACTAACTTAGCTTAGTTTTAATAAAACTAATATATGAATATATATTTAAATAAATCTAAAATTATTTAACTTTTTTTAATATTTGATGATTTTGATAGCTATCTGTTTAACTCAGAATAACTATAATAGTTATTTGACATTATAAATAAATTCAAGTAAAAATAACCATTAACTTATACTTTACTTAAAAAGTATAAACTTAAATATAATATCACAATAACAATATATATAATGCTCATGATTATCATATATATCTACATAAACACTAAATGGATTTAAATAGTAAATTATAAATTTGTGTACTATGAATTTTAAAATAAGGAGGTTTAGTACATGTCCAAACATTTTTATTTTCTCTGATGTTATGCTAATTTATCACATTATTTTCTACATAATAATTATATTATAATGACTAGAAATAAGAATAAAAGTAATACAATTTGAATACACTATACTCAGTTATTCAAATTTGATGTGATTTTGAGGAATAGCAATAATAATAGACTGAATATATTTTAAAAATTATGCAATAATGTTATCTCTTTTATTGATACTAAGTATTACTTAGTTACTACTTATAAACATGTTACCCAATTTCACAAAGTAAAATTTAGAATTAATTTTAATTATTTATAGAAATTTGAAAGCAATGATAAATATTGTTCTTATAGAACACAACTTTTTTTGCATCCAAGATATATTGAACGTAGTTAAAATATATTGTGAGTATAATTTTAAGATTTAATAATTATATTACACATGTAATAAAATTTGTCATGAGATTATGCACAGTTGATATACATTACTATAAAGGATGAAAACTTAGGTTCAAATATCAATGAATGTTCATGTTTATTAACCTTGAAGCAGGGAGAGTGGAAAATGTTGACAGCTGCTTTTCATGTTAAAAATATGTTTCAGGTGCATACATTTTTAACAACAAATATTTTTTAAGGCGCTTTTAATTATGTTAGTGATTTTTGTATCAAATTGAATCAAACGACTAAGAGATCAACCATTTTATTATTTTATTTTAATTCAACATTTTTATTTTATAATAAATTCAAGTTTTTTTGGGTACAAATATCAAAAACCTTTATGATAACATATGCAACATGGTTTAAAATACATTGAAACATGATATAAATATTCAAAAGTAAATTTTATATAGTTCTAAAAATTGACTAGGTAAGCTGGTGAGTAGTATTAATTTATTGGTACTCATCAACACAGTTAAAAATGTTTTATACTAATTTAGTTAGATATTTATGGATTAGCCAGTTTACCTTACCTAATATTTATTATTTACAATATTAACAAGATGGAAATTAAAAAAAAAAGGAAGTATAAAAAGAAAATGTAATGGTTGGCATAAATTGTAATCAGTTACTATGGTAGAAAAATCTAATCCTATGTGTTTCTCAATTATTAATAAATTAAACATGGCTTATTTCTTTAAATTAAATAAATTTTTTTCTTTGGGGAAAAATTTTAATATGGTTGACTGGTAATTTTTTTGATAGAATAAGATTATTTTAAAACAATTATTTACATACACTACTTATTAGTATTTAAAAACAGCACTAGATTTAGGGGAGGGATCCGGGACACGTGCTTTTGGTACTGGTCATAAAGAGGAGAAAATTTTTAATTATAGTTTGTAAAAAGAAGGTTATTGATATAAAAAGGTACCAATTTCATATTTTGTCCAGGGTTAAAAAAATGTTAGATCCTGCACTGTCTAAAAGTATCTAAGACATGATTTAGATAAAACATCAATTAAATGTCAGATAATATAAAGAAAAAAAAATATTCAAGAAATAATAATTTGATGGATATGGGTAGGAAGATAAAAAGTACAATATTCTATAGAAATTTTTGATGGGTAGGTTAATTACTAATTATCCAAAGTAGTTGCCAGTAGACTAAAATGAACAAAAATAAGTAAGATCTGTGATGTACTCTAAACATAAATGTATAATACTTAATTAAAAACTAAAAATTTTATAGCTCACAAGATAATTAATCATTAATTCATTACTAATACAATATAAATTTATTATAAATTTATCAAAGTATTTTAATAAAAATCTTCATAAACAATAACTATATTATTGTTATTTATTCGTGATAAAATTTGAATAAAATATATAATTTAGTAAATGTTGAGGATGGTGAATATTTTAGAATAGGTTAACTATATATCAAAAAATATGACAAAAGTAAATAATTTATCATTATACAATTAAATTATGTGGATAAAACTAAACACATAAAAACTTGTTTACCATCAATATAATACTGAAATCTATTGGCAAAATCAAATAATCAATCAAACTTTATTCTATAATAGGTATTTATTGAAATTATCGAATTCAATTTTAACTACATTATGATATATATAACACCTAAATATTAATTGTGATATAAACATGTAACTATACAATATAATTGTAAAAATATTATAAAAATCTCAATTCATGATTACTGAACTATAAATTCAGAGAATTTGGTAAATAGTTAATTGTGTTTTATAAAATGAACAAAATATCTTATTTCTAAACTGGCAGTTGGAGAGTAAGACATAATCTAAAGATCTACAAATGACTTAAGGAGTTTGAAAAAGGTAAATTATGCAACTTAGTAATACAATTATTATTATTAATTAATATTGTTATTAAAACGTTTTAAATTTATTATTAATCTACTAATCCATTTGTTGAAAATTGAATTGATAAAATGTATATACAGTCTTCTCGTGAAAGAAAGGTACCGTGTTTCACATATATAGACTGAGCTACAAACTGGTGCTAGTTTGAATGTGGTAAGGGTATTAGGCGCTACCGGTGTGAGGATGTGCAAGAATGTATGATTTTTATCAAAACGCGATACCTTTCTTTCATAATACAGACAATAGAAATAAGCATACATGTTTTAAGTTTCACAATTGTAACACTGTGGTGGTCATTGTGAGTGCACAGAAGTGCTCAATTATTTTTCTTAAAACAATTAACTTTTATTTTTTATGTAAAGATATTAATGTTAATTTTACTACAGAGTAATATTTCATAAGTATTTTGAATAAAACAAAACCATATTATACAGAAATATACAATTAAGATATAATTTCTTAAGATACTTAATATAAATTAGTGAAGTTTTCTTGTTCTTAATATCAAAATACTTAAAACTCAAACATGCTTTTACCACTCTTAAGATTGTACAGTTGCAATTTTTACTATCACTAACATTGCTTTCTATTAGACTACAAATGTTTATGACAACATATTTTTTTTAGTGTAATAAAAATTAAACCAAAATATGACTAAAATTTGATTCAGAGATTAGATTTCAAATCTTTATACTAATTTAGCATTCACAATATATACTTATAATTAATTGACATTATTGAGTGTATATTAACATTTAGTAATTATTTCTAGATTTAATAGCATACTTCAGAATACGTGTTGTATGCTATCTACAATAGATTTATTGATGTCATGTGGTATTTATATTAATAAAGTTAACTACACATTTTTCCATATCAAGATCTTTATAAACACACATTAAAGTTTTCAAATACAGACAATTAAGTGTTTAAGGAGACATGTAAAAGTAAAATGTAGTTTAAGATCATGTGGAGCAACAGATCTACTCGAAAAGTAATTCCAGGAAGAATTGTAGCGTTCAGTCTATTTGACTAATGTGTTTGAAAGCTTTTTAAAGAGACGTAAAAGATACATTTATAATATTTATATAATAAGATTATAATTCCAATGACAACTTTAAAACTACAAGCTCTGATAAAAATATTTAGATAAGTTAAGAATACATTTTTTTTTTTGCATAGATAGGATGATAAAGCATGTGTACCCATATTTCTAATTATTTAATTATTATTTTGAATACTTAAAGATATTTATATTGATCATTTACGAGTAAGATTATATGAAATATTGCATCAAATTTCAAATTTAAATTTAAGACAAACTAATAATTTGACAGTTTTTACCAAATAAACACTTCTAAGTTATACGCTTCAATTTTCACATTTTAATATATTGTATGTTTCATTTATTTTATGTAGATTTGTATTCTTGAATTTCTATATTCATTTATCATATCTAATAAATTAAACTGAATATAATTGTATTTTTTGATATTTTTAAATGCATATTTTAATAAATGTATGGTCATTAAAACATTAGCTGCCTAACATATTAGAGTAAATTTATTAAAATGAAAAAAAAGTTGTTGTTTAAAAACAAAATTTTGAAAATTGAAAACTTAAATATCAATGTACTGCTTGCATACATATATGAAATAATAATTATAGGAGATGCTAACGAACAAACAACCAAAAGTTTAATCGTAATTTTAACCAAATTTTAATGCATTTAATAATATGATAAATTGGCTTTATTCAGCATATGTGAACAATGTTAATTGACATAATTTGGCATTATCTGAAATTAACATGTTAATACCCAAAATTTAAATTTCACTAACATTTTTTAAAACAACTTGTTTTACATGTGAACATGCACGATGGCAAGTATAATATTTTTAAAAAAAAATATTTTGAAATACATAAGTTTCAGAAAATAATAACTCTTGCTAAAAAAAGAGCCAAATATACATTTTGAAATGAATGGAATCAAAAAATTTGTAATTTGTAAATTTCCATTACATTTCCATTATTTTGAAAACTTATACTACAAAATATAAGACACAGGAG